TGACCTTAGAACTGAAGAAGCTTCTCGGATGAGAGGTGAAACGTCTTCAAGCAACTTAAAGAAGTCCAGACGCTTTTCTTTGCAAGCTCCTTTGACTAGTTACACCTTCATTATCATGGACACAGGTGTAACTAATGCAAACAGTGCCTGCATTCCAGTGTCAGACTCCTATTGGCTTGCATATCTTACTTACTGCCATTCAAATTAATACAGTGAATAGGGTTTATATAGGTATTTAAATATTTGAAACTCTGAACTCTTTGCGCATGCATCTTTATTGTATTTAAAGTTATCAGTCTGTCTTTATATCTGCTTTGACTGGTGATCATACACATGCAGTTTTTTATGTCCTGTTGATTGAAATCTATTAGCAAAATTAATTTAGATAATAGAATTAGGTCAGTAAGTGTTCGGACAATGACTCAATTTTTATATTTTTGCATTTCTACACTCTTCATTCTTCAATCTTTATTCAAGAGGTTTAAACAAATTATTGTCAATTATTACCCTTTCATGCATAGTGGTCACTACAGTGGACAGCTATTCAAAGGCTGTTTTCTTGTATTTGTGTCATTGTTGATGGTATACTTGCTCATAAACCACTACGTTGAACACTGATGTGTCACTCCATACCCTGCCACCCACTGGTCATTTAATGTTACTATAGATGTTTGACGTGTTTCATTGCAATTTTTTATTGTTTTGTTTAATTGTTTTGTTTTAATTGTTATTCAACCCTGTCATGCATGAATTATGATAGCCTCAATCAGGATTTTTTTTCCTCAAGTATTTTTATTCATCTTTTCATTCTTAAAGATGAATAGAAATACTTAAGAAAAAAATCCTGATTGAGGTTGTCATAATTCATACATGACAGGGTTAATTCTAAGGATTTTTAAATGCTGCATTTTTAAATACAGTCAATAAATTTCTTTTCTCTACAGCTTAAAGACATCATGAAATGCTGCTTCCTCCCTTGAGATGCTCTGCCAGACCTTTATTTAAGTAACTTTCAGTTACTGCTTGTTTGTGGGTCTCTGTGCATTCAGCTTTGTCTTCAGTAAAGCATCCTCTGATGGGTTGGGATCAAATGACTAATTGACAAACGGACAAATATCCCATTTCTTTGCCTTGAAAAACCCTTGTGTCACTTTTTACAGTATGCTTTGGGTCATTGTTGGCACATATGAAGCACTGTTGGATCACTTTTGCAGTCTTGGTTGTATAAATCTGAGCAGAGAGAATAACCTTGTACACTTCAGAATTCACCTGCTG